CCTGGGGCGCCTTATCAACCCCAGTGGAGCTGGAGGAGATGTGACTTTCGTGGCTATGTTTCTTCTCCCCCTGGGCTGGAGTAGCTGTCAGAGGAAGACAGAGTTTGGAGAGGTCCAGCCTCCAGATCGCCCACAGGTGAGGCCGCAGGGCCCGGCTGGGTGTGCCCCACCTCCCCCACCTGGTGGCCCAGCCCGCTCCCAAATCCGGGGATGCCTTCTGATTGGACAGGGTGCACTGATAGGCTGTGGCTTTATTCTCTCGCTCCCACGGAATCCCTGCTCTGCCAGACCTCAGGGATGCCGAGTGGGGAGGGGTGGACCCCACAGGCAGTCTCAGGGGCGTTGGAGAGGAGCGGCTCTTGGGAGAGAGGGAACCCCCCTTGTGCAGCTAGGAAAGGAAGTTGTCCTTCACTGCAGCCCACGCACTGCCCCGGGGCAGGTGGGAGGCAGGAGAGTGGTCTTGAAGGGGTGGACAGGCAGAGCCGGGAGGAGCTGAGGCTAGTGAGGGAGGGGCCAAGCTTTGTTTCCTGGGCAGCCCCCCCCCCCCCAAGACCCAGAAAGCCTAGTACTGTTGCTGCCAGGTTCACCCAATAGAGGGGCCTGGAGGGGGGGGGGGATACACTATTCACTGAGCCAGCAGTGAAGTGGCCTGGAGTACAGCTGGGCTGGAAGTGGACATCCAGGGGAACTGGGGCCATGGAGGGAGGGGCGCCCCCAAGAGTGGGGCCAAGACCACCCCAGAAACCTCAGCCTTAGAAGTGCATGCTGGCTTCTCCCAGCTCTATGGTTCCGGAGGTGTGTGACCTCAGGCAGTTACGTGACCCCTCCGTGCCTGCGCTTTCCCATTGGCGAAGTGAGGAGAGCTATGAGGTGTTCCTTATAAAGCAGCGGAGTGAGAGCATGGGTTACAACCAGAGTTTCAAGACAAATGGAAAAACAGACCGCAGAGGGGGTGTGGAGAGAGAACCTCCCTGGAGGAACACCTGGGCCAACCTGAGCACCCAGGAGGAGTTGTATTCGTGCCAGGGACTTGAAACTCTGGGCGCAGATGTGGAAGCAAGAAGCTGCACCCTGATGCTGGAGACGCAGGCTCCCCCTCAGCTGCCCCACAGCAGTTGCCCTGGGGTCCCCACAGCTAGGTGCCTGTGACATCTCAGGAATCAGTTGATGCTCAGAGCTTGACTGATCCCTGGTCCCAAGAAGCTCATGTGTTCTCTTAGGGTACCTGTGGGTGCCGTGAGTAATGACCGCAAACTTGGTGGCTCAAAATGACGGAAATACATCCTCTCAGAGTTCTGGGGGCCTGAAGTGTGCACTCAGTGCTCCCCCCTCTCTGCCTCCACGGCATGGCCTCCTCCCCTCCACGAGGTCATCTCCCTCTGTCCCCCACAAGGACCCCAGTGATCACACTTAGGGCCCACCTGGATAGTCCAGGACAATCTCCCCATCTTGATTCCATCGCATCAGCCAAGCTCTCTTTTTTTCTTTTTAAATATCTTTTTGTTGATTTCAGAGAGAGGAAAGGAGAGGGGGAGAGAGAGAGAAACATCAATGATGAGAGAGGCATCGTTGATGGGCTGTCTCCTGCAGGCTCCCAACTGGGAATCAAGCCCGCAACCCGGGCACGTGCCCCGGCCGGGAATCGAACCGCGATCTCCTGGATCCTAGGTTGATGCTCAACCGCTGAGCCACGCCCAGCCGGGCCAAGCTCTTTTTTGCCATGTGAAGTGACATTCACAGGTTCCAGGAATTAGGACAGGGACATCATTTGGGGGTCATTATTCAAGCCAACCACAGAGGGTCCCAGAAAGGGGCTCTATGGATGGGATTTAAATACTTAGAGGGGAAATCTCCAGATGTTTGGAAGAGAACTGAATGCAGAAAGCTCTTCTGAGTGGCTCTGGGCCTGCTTGGGAGTGGTCTGATGGCAAGTGGACACTGACTAGGCTGGGTCCCACGATGTCAGTCAACTGGAGAGGAAGCAGCCTGGAGTCGGCCCTCCAGGGCACAGCTGTCACCATGCCCTGTCCCGTCAGTTGCTGCCACAAGCACAGGTTTTTGCAGGCAGCTTGGATTCAGAGCTTGGCTGTCCAGGAAGGTCTTGTCTGTCTGGATGCTCCTATCTCCGCATCCCCACTGTGTTTCTGGGGCTACCGTGGCCTCAGTTTCATTACAGCTCTTGCTAAATTAGCCCCTGGACATAGGACCTGCGACGTCAGAGCCCAAGATATCCTCCTGTCCAGCAGTAAGAGAAGGTTCACATTGACTCAGTGAAGACTATGTCTGACAGGGCTCCGGAGAAACAAAAGCAACAGACTAATATACATAGAGAGAAAACTTATTTCAAGGAAGTGGCTTGTGGTTACGGAGGGAAGCGTGATAAATCCCAAATCTGCAGGGTGCGTGGCCAGCAGAGACCCCAAGAAGAATTGTTAACTGGAGCCACAGGTGGTGTGCAGGACTCCTCGCGCAGAGGTGGTGGCCTCTGTTCCGGTCAAGCTGCCAGCGGCTTGGATGAGGCCCACTGTCTTGGTCCCCTTAGACTGCTGTAACAGAGCACCACACACGGGGTGGCTTGTAAGCAACAGAATTGTATTCCTCACGGCTCTGGAGGCTGTAAGTGGGAGGTCAGGGTTCAGAGTCAGCTCCAAAGGCCTTGCCTCCTAACACCTTCATGGTGAGGGTTTGGATTTCTTTTTACTTTTTTTTTTTTTTTATTGATTTCAGAGAGAGGAAGGGAGAGGGAGAGAGAGATGGAAACATCAATGAGAGAGTCATTGATCGGCTGCCTCCTGCAGGCCCCCGACTGGGGATCGAGCCCCCAACCCAGGCATGTGCCCTGACCAGGAATCGAACTGCGATCTCCTGGATCCTAGGTCCATGCTCAACCGCTGAGCCACGCTGGCCGGGCAGGAATTAGGACTTTGACATATGAATTTGGAGGGGGGAACACATTCTGACCATAGAACCCACCCACACTATGGAGGGTGGTCTGTCTGCTTTACCCCAAGTCCACCAATTTAAATGTTAATCTCACCCAAAAAACACCTGCACAGGAACATCCAGAATAATGCTTGAACAAATGTCTGGGCACCCTGACCCAGCCAACAGAGAAAATTAACCATTAAATGTCTCATCTACTTAAAGATTTATATTTTTTAATTTTCAAAAGATCCCATTTTAACCCAACCTTTCTTCCACAAAGCGCCTTACATCCCACTAACAGCTCCGGCGCTGGTCCCGAGGGCCCCTGAGCTCCAGCATCATGCCCGGGACATGCTGAGTGTTTAACGACCTCAGCCCTGGGTTTCGGGCTAATCTGGAAAGATCCCTTTGGGATTCACCCCGTGTGACTGGAATCGGGCTCGAGTCGAAGCTCTCCAGGGTTCACCCTCCTGGGAGCCCCGCGGGAACGGGAAGTCTACAGGGTCACGCCTCTGTGCATCTGTCTCCTCCGCCCCTCCTCCCTTCACTCACCAAGCTCAACATCCTACACTTTGCAGAGGTTTGGGGCGTCCTGTGTGGCCGTCCGTCAGGGTGAGTGGTTTCAGCCCTCGCAGTGAATGGCCGTCACATGACAGCGTCACTTCCTGCATGTGTGTGTGTGGCCAAGGGCAGCCGGCGCTGATGCAACACGTCAGGCTTGCATCTCCCCCACACCCCCGAGACCCACAGCATGACACACAGGCCGCGCTTGTACACCAAACACCAAACATGACCAATGTCTCGCACCGTGAGTGTATTTAACTTCTCAAAGGGCACACACACATTTTCAGCAGCACACCGGGCACGTGAACTTCAGGATGCCGTCCAGCCAGACGCGGGGCGCTTCACCCCCTCCCTCAGAAGGGCACTGGAAGGGCTGCACTTCCACTCCCCCAGGACAGATAGGTCTGAGGCAATTGTGGGAAATCCAAAGTCAAGCAAGTAAAATAATAATTTAAAGAGGAAAACGGAGACAATCTCAGGAAAGTTATCTTTGTTCTAAGAAAAGTCTTTTTTTCTTTTTTTGTGTGGTATAAATGACTCACTTATGAAGAGGAAGCGAGTTCTGTTGAAAATACTTGAAGTACTCTCTCAGGGGGAGAAAACAGCTCTTGACCAGGGCAGCGGGGCCCGGGGCGGGGGCCTTCGCTCTCCGCCTGTCCTGAGCCAGCAGGGAGAGCTCCTCCTGGGGCACCAGGGCCGAGTGCCGGCTGCGGAGGAGAGAGGAGGAGAGAGGAGGCTCGTCACCAAGGGAGCACCAAGCCCTCCCCCCCACCGAGGAGGACAGTGGGGGGAGCTGGCTGGTGCCAGGCTCTCCAGATTTTTCAGAGGTCTCGCAGGTAAACACCGGGTCCAGCCTGCATGTCTTGAGCACCAGGGGACGAGATGGCCTTGCACCTCCAGCCTCCCTCGGTCCTGTGAGGTGCAGGCAGGATGGTGGAGGGGAGAGGGTCCCAAGGACAGATCCTGGCCCACCTGGGCGGGTCCCCCCTTCAGTGAGAGGAAACCGTCCTGGAGAGACCCCAGGAGAAGGAGGGGTAGGACAGGGTGTGGGCTAAAGGTAGGTCAAACCGAATTGAATGTCATTCCCAAGGAATTATGTCATATCCAAGACAGAGAAGCCTGAGCATGTTCCCAGGGGTCCTGTGGCAGCCTGTGGCAGGTGGGTGCAGAGAGCAAACTTGCAATTTGATGCAACCCGTGGACCTGAAAGCTTCATGGACGCGGCGCCCGGCACTTCCGCCCCATGCCCCCGGGCCCCCACTGCAGTCAGGGAGCGCCTTTGGTTTACTTTGGAGGGCCCGGAACGAGGCCCCAGGAACAGGCAGGGCTCCTCCTGGCATTCCCTGTACCACACCCCCGGCCGCTCGGCTGGCAGAGGGGTGGCCATGGCGGCCCAGCGGCTGCTGCCCTTCATCTCTGCAGGATGAGGTCACTTTCAGTGAGGCTGGGCCTCTCTCCTCACTATTCAGACAGCAGGAGCCTGATGCTAAACCGCCCTTCAAAGATGCTGCTTCCAGCAATTTCTGGGAACGATGTGGGAGAGGGGAAAGCTGACCGGCAGGGCAGGGCAGGGCGAGTAGCACACGTAAGCAGCCACCCAGGGAACGGCTGGCCGGGCTTCAGGGAGAACACACCCCGGGAAGCTGCCTCTCTTTAGCACCACCTAAAACTCATCCAGGGTGTAGGCCTGGAGAGGGGCAGACGCTGGGATGGGGCGGGTGGAGGCCACTGTGGGGAGGAGACAGGACCCAGCTGTCCCTGAAGATGTGGCAGCCTGGGTCACATGGGGCTGCACCTGGCGGGGATGTGAGCTGAGGGCAGGGGCACAGTGTCTGATGAGACCGCCAGAGCAGGTGTCCCCGAAGCAGAAAGTCTGCCTGGGGAGCAGGGTTGACAGGACCGGGGGCTGAGCATGTGGGGAGGAGGGTCGGGGGGTTGAGCACAGAGAATGATCATGAGCAGAAACAATCGGGAGAGGGGCCGGCGGCCGAGGATGGGTGTGCGTGAAGGCCTGAGGCCCGGTGTCCAGCGAGAGGAGTTCTGTACGGCCGGTGCATCGTGGGTGGGTGGTGTGAGTGTGGGCTTGTGTGCGTGTGTCAGTGAGTGGGTGTGAGAGTGTGTGAGTGTGGGTGTGGGCGTGAGAGTGTGCATTGTCTATGTGAGTGTGAGGTTGTGTCAGTGAGTGGGTGAGTGAGGGGGTGAGTATTTGGGTCTGTGTGGGGCGGGCTGTGCTCCCTGAGGCTGGGGACGGGCACCAGGCCCATGGCACACGTGGCTGTGTGGCGGGTGGCTGGGGGTTTGGACTTTTTTCTTTGGATGCAGGGAAGCCCTGCAGAGTCCCGAAGTGAGAACCTCACAAGCACCAGTGCAACAGCTAGGAGAAGGTCCCCACAGTGGAAGGGATGTCCCTGACCTCGAGCGTGCCCAGAATTTTGGGGGTTGCCTCGAAGGCCCACCAGACATAGCCCCTGAGCTGGGCAGAGAGCTGCTGGACATGGCCAAGGTCCCTCATTGCTCCCGGAGGAGTCGAGCGTAGGAAATACCTCCTCACGGCCGGGATGTTGCTCCACACACGCACGGCGTTCCGGACGGCCCTGCCGCCGATGTCCCGGATGGTCACAGGGTCTGTCTGGGGTGGAGACATCAGCTGTGGGTCAGGGTGACCTGGACAGTAACCTCTGTTCCCTGCGGTGCCCACAGGCCTCACCCACTCTAGGAACCATGTGTGGCCCTCAGAGTTCAGTCAATAGCCTCCCCAGACTGACTGTGTCCCCCAATCCACACTGTTTCACATCACATCTTTTAAAAAATAAATCCCTTATGAGAAAAAAAAAAAAAAGCCAAGCTATTATTTCAAAACTTTTAACTGGTTGATTTTTGCTCCCACGGGTCACATGGCCCAGGACTTCCTGCTGCTCGGGCACCGGGTGGTGTCACTCAGATAAAGAGTCTGTGGTCTTTGAGCAGCGGGGTGTTTGTCTCAGGGACCCGAGAGCAGTACCTTCGCTTCACGGCCCTTCTCAGGACCCAAGTGGCTGCCTGGTCCTGGGGTCACTGTCTCCCTAAAAGGCACTCGAGGGATGAGGGAGGAGAGAGTGGGAGGCAGGACAGACCTTCCACCACTGGGAGGGGAGCCTCAGAAGGGAGAGGTGACCCGGAAATTCAGGACGAGGAGATGGGGACAGATGGGGTAAGGTGGCAAGGAAACAGTTTGCCTTAAGTTTGGATGTGTGTGTGTGGGGGGGTCATCCTGTGAGAGTGGACACCAGGCTCGACCAGGGGCAGGGCTGTGTCTAAGGAGCGGGTGTTGGGAGGGACTTGGGTCAGCCCTGGGCGGGTTGTCACTGAGTCCTGGCTACTCTAAGGGTCAGGATTCAGATACAGGGAGAGAGAAAACACGGTTGTCAGTGCTCGAGAGAGTGTGTGTGAGGGTGTGTGATTACGTGTGTGGTGTGTGCACTTGCGTGCACTGTGTACAGTGGCGTGTGTGCATGTATACATGTGCACGGATGGAGAGCGGGCCGGTGCTATATCCTGAGTGTAGCATGTAAGGGGACACCCTCTGAGGCCACCATGAAGGGTCCATGCTCTAGTGGCACAAGGTGACCCTCACAGTCCCTGCAAACTCTGAAAACTGGGGTCTCAGGGGTCAGACTCTAAACCACCTCCCTGATGAAGGCCGAATGCTCCCTGGGGAGGCCCAGCCGGGCTGGCATCTGGAGCCTGTGCCCTGCACGCACCTCCAGGAAGCGTGTGGCTACGGCACAGTCGTCCTTGGTCAACACCAGGTTGTCCACGAACATCCAGAAGAAGGGCTGTGGGCTGCCGGGCTGGGGCCTCGAGTACTGCAGGACGCGGTGGAACTGGAACAGGAACCACCCTGCGAGGACCGTCCAGTGCATGTGGCTCTGCCTGGTGCAGGGACGTGGGGTGCAAGGGCACGGCTGAGGGGCTCCAGTTGGGGAGAGACCAAGGAAGGACCAGGCTCCATGTGGCCAGCTTGGGCCCCGGCGCTCACTCTTTCCAGGATAGTTCTGTCTCCCCAACAGCAACTGAGCCTCAGGGCCCAAGGCTCACTGTCACCCAAGGTGCAGAACCCGGTGTGCTGGTGTTAAGGGACAGAGGCAGTTAAAATGTGGCAGGGCTGGCAGGTGGAAGGAGCAGGGTCAGAGGGCACAGGGGCCTTGGTGATAGATAAAGTCCACTCTCTAGGATGTGTCAACAGCTCCACAGGGGACAGATGTCAGAAGACACCACATTGTACTCAATGAATATGGACATTTTATGGGTGTCAGTGGTCCCTCAATAAAGCTGTTTTTATAAATGCAGGCAATTTGCAATTCCTGCCCTCCCTGTGGTGGGTTAGTGGGTCATGGGGTGCAGGAATGAGAGGGCCCAGGTATTGGGGCACGGGGGCTCTCTTACCGGGAGGGCGGTCACAGGCCTGGCCGAGGGGAGGCGTGCAGCCATACACAAGGTCGAATGGGCCCCAGCTTTCCACCTGCAGGACATGGGAGGACACGTGCAGATGGGCCTGTCCTAGCAGCAGGCTCCTGTGTGCTGACTGTGGCACCACTCAGGTGGGCAGTGAAGCCACCAGATCAGACCCACCCGTGTCTTTCTCAGGCACCATGGGCCTGGGAGCACTCAGGGCTGGCTCTCATTGTTCAAGGAGAGGCTGGCCCTCCGCAGGTCCCTGGGAACCCAAGTCATTCCTGTGCCAGGTGTCACCCTGCAGATCCGCCCCTAGGAAGGTAGGCACACTGACTCCTGGGATTCATGTGGGTTTTTTGTGTAGCAGGAAAATACAAGATGGTTCCCTGAAAAAACAGCCAGCGGCTCCTGGCTGGATGGACACTAACAGTGAGGCTGTGCCCTTTCCTGGTGGGAGAAGCTGCGACCCAGCACTGGGGCAAGCGAGAGGCCAGCGTCCTCGGGCCCTGAGCCAACCAGAGGAGGCTTCTGGCCCTTTTTCCAGGTGCTGTGAGGAGCTTGAGGCCAAGCTCAGGGTGCCGCTGAGTCATCTGGGAGCACTTCCTGCATGACCACCATTCAGGACTGCAGGAAATAGCTTTAGGGGGAGCCAGGACATTTCTTGGTGGAAGTGTTTGGAAGGTGTTTTCAATCAGCCATTGTTTGTTTTAGGGGAGGTGTAGATTAAACCCCTCTCTGGGCAGCACCCTCACTAGTGGTGGAACCTGCCCCTGGATTGATTTCAACAAGATGAATGGGAGGTGTGGCCGATCGCTCTGCTCTGGGCTGCGGCCAGAGTGGGGACCACAAAAATGTCCCTCTCATCTCTCCTGCTGCAGGGCGAAGTGCCAGCAACTGTGAGGACCAGTGCCCATTCCTGTGAGGCCCTCAGGTGAGCCCCGACGGGGCCAGAGCTGCGCAGCACCTGGGCGCCCCCCTCCCCCGGGGACCCCGCGCACACCTGCTTCATCTTGGCGCCTGGCCGGTCACGCTGTACTTACGTCCCTCCTCACTATATTGGTAACATCGTGAAGATATCTCAGTCTTCCTGAGCCAAAAACATTTTCCAAAAAGCCCAAACTGGTCAGCTCTGGATGGGAAAAAGAGCACAGGACACGCTGATGTTGAGCCCAACGGAAACCAAAGGCCGGCGGCTGACCAGAAAACGTGGGTGCCGCCGAGGAGCAAGCTTTATCTTTTTAATGCCGAGATGGGGAACTAATGACTCAACGAAGGTATGTGTTGATTATAAGCTAAGCAAGCAAACTCATCTGAGTATTGGTCTGAGAAAGTCGAGAGATTTGTCGTGAAGCCAGCCTTCCTGGTGGTGATTCACACTCTGGGTTAGGAAATCCATCGGGCAGTGGCATCCACACTGATGTCACCCAGCCAGGGTTTGTCACACAGTGGGTGGGCTGCTGGAGCCCCGTTATGACCTTGGAGAGTCTGTGGCCTGGGGACAGGAAGAGGAGCCCAGAAAGGACCTTACAAATGGGACTCGGGGATGCGCCCTCATGAGGAGATGAAGGCAGGGCGGCCTGACTCCTGGTCCCTTCTGTAAGCTGTTAGCTGTGCGAATGTCAGGCCCCTCGTCCACGACATGGTGCCTGAGGCTGCAGTGACCAGTGCACAGGGCACGAGGAACATGCTGCACGAGACTAAGGGGTATTTTCATGGATTCTCCTCATGTCTGCAAAGCTCAGAAGAATCCATGATTTCCAAAGGCACCAGCAGGTGGGGGTCAGCTTGGGGTCCAGGGAGGCAGGACACCTGGGCAAGGCTGGAGGGCAGCAGGTGACCAGCAGAGCTCACGAGGAGGGAGGGTGCGGGCAACCCTGGGAGGGGTGGGATGGCCCCGCAAGGTGGCCCGGTGTGTGGTGGTATCCGAAGTCGGCTTTGGTGTTTGGTGGCCGTGGGCAGAGAGCCTGGCCGCACAGCCCTCATTAAGGGGACTTTACACCCGCTGTCTTGCTTTCTGCACTTTCTTTCCAAGGCATGTCTTCTGAAGGTGAGCTCCAGGGCTCCTGCACCCTCTCCCCCTGCCCACCCAAATGACCCTCAGCCCCAGATGCCTGGAGTCACCCCAGATGCTCAGCAAGCGGGACACTGGGAACAGTATAAACCCCACCCTCCGCCCAGGTTTGGGCAAGTGCGTCTTCCAGTGAGTTCTCTGGACGTCACTACACTCACCTTTCCCGATGTCTCCAAAAAGGGACAGCACCCGGACTGGCTCTCTCTTCCACACAGGCACAGTCTTATACATCTCCAGGGGACTCTCCTATTCATAAAAAATAAAATAAAAATAGACGATGTTCTGGGATGTCGTGGTAACAGAGCCAGTGAGTCACACAGAGGCTGCTTTCTGGGCAGCAGGAGCATCTCCCCGGTGAACAGAGGGACACCTGGGACACCCCTGCTGAGGCGCTGGCCCAGCCCTGGCCGCGGTGAAGACCCTGCACACCCCTGGGCCGCCCCCTGCTCTGAACCTGCCCCAGGCCATCTCTAAAAGGAAAGGCAGGCGCGGGGTCTTTCCTGAGCGGGAAGGAGGACAAGTCCATGGGGGCCACGCCCTTGGTATTTCTCAGGGAGACGCTCTCACCTGGGCGTTCTGAATACATGCAGCAGCGGGATTCCCCCCCCTTCCTCTCCCTGTGTGGGCTCTGGGTGTGGCCCCAAGCCACCGAGCACCCCTGAAAGTTACCAGCAGGAGGCCCTTCCCGGGCCAAGGACTGGACGGAGACCTACTGTGCCAAGAGCCTGTGCCCCATGCTCAGCCACAAGGAAGCCATGCTGGGGACCCAAGAGTGGGAAGGCCCATGGACGATGCCTGCCCTTCCCCTCCAAGACACCCAGGAGAGACTATAATCCGTTTGGGAAACAAGCCCCCCAGAGCCTCCTACCCCCAGGAGGCGCCACATGGTGCGAGCCTGGCTGCCCTGACAGACTCTGTGGGACGCACAGCATGTCACCCCGCTGCACAGCGGGAACACAGCGGCTTCCCTCTGCGCCTGGCGCTGGGCTGGCGTGAACGGCATTTCCGAATAACTTCATTCTCTTTCAAAGCAAAACTGCAACTCGCAAGCATGGCTCACTCCACACTGAGATGACGGTTCCTGCCCCTCAATGGCCCAGAAGAAGGTTCTATAAGGGGTGCATGCGCCTACTCTCCGGAAAGCACCATAAAGACACCTGCCAAGGTTGTCGTAAATGTACAGGCTCCCAGCCCGTGGCAGGGAGGCAGTGGAACGGCACCCCGCCTGTGCGCCCTGTGGGTGCACCCAGCAACGCCATGTGGGAGTCTCCAGAATCCGTTCTGGCACTGCGCCCCTGCTGTCCACTGATGCCTCGCCAAGCTCTCAGCCTCGTTTCCAGGGCAACCACAGCGGATGGAAATAAACTGTGTGGCCACGAATTTATTCAGGCCGGAAATCCTAAGTCCACGTGTCAGCAGCGCTGGTTCCCTCTGCTGGGTCCCAGAGAGGCTCTGTCCCAGGCCTCTCACCAGCTTCTTGCTGCAACCGGGCAGTCCTTGGGTCCTGGGCTTGTAGGTCATCGCTCCAACCCCTCCCCCATTGTCACATGGCCACCCTCCCTCTATGTGTCTTTGTGTCCCCAATCTCCTCTCCTTTCTCTTGTCTGACACCAGCCATGGCATTCTGGGCCCACCCTAACCCAGGAGACCACATCTCAAGATGTTTAACTCAATCACATCTGCAAAGACCTTTTTCTAAAACAGGTCATGTTCTCAGGTACCAGGAGTCAGGATGTGGGCATGATTTGGGGGGACAGAGTTCATCCCACTGTGATGAGCCCCCAGCTCCTGCCTAGCTCCTGGTTCCCGGCCTCGACCCTCAAGAGGCCCTGGACTTGCTGGCTGCCCAGGCTTCTGCTCCCCGCTGCTGGCCTGAGAGGTGCAGCTCTGCGGAGCCCCCTGCCACCTGCTACAAACGCCTCATTCTGGGGCTCGAACAAACAAAACCACCTGACAGCAATTAAGGAGCAGACCACCTTGTGGCACCTGCTGTCAGAGAGAAAAGCACATTTGCTTAAAAGCCCCTAACTTCACCATGTGCCGGAGCAGGTGGGCACCCTGCAGCTAGAGACAAGAGAGAACCCACCGGGCCGTGCCAGCGGGCAGCGGGCTGTCCTCTGAGTGTCCCCTTACCGACTCCTGGTCGTAGAAGGCCTTCAGCCGCTCCCGCCACTTCCTGCGCCGCTGCAGCAGCCCGCTTTGGGGTGAGGGCAGGCACAGGAAGCACACCCAGTTACTCACAGCCTGGACCTTCCCCGAGGTTCCCGGCCCCACGAGGGTATCCACGCACTCGAAACAGTAGCACCTAGAGTCAAACAGAAAACCACAGGGACTGAGATGACATTGCTTCGGCCATCAAGTGAAACCACGGGCCGTCTGCAGGCCGAGAGCCTGCCCCTGGCTTTGGAGTGAGCCGTGGGCCACGGAAGCCACAGTGGGGCTCCTGTGGAAAGACAAAGTTGACCCTGTTCATCTGCACAGTGGGAAGGCGAGACTGGATCAGGGAGGGGGACCAGTCCCTCTTCGGGACCTAGAGGGACAGGAACCAAGGCATCTGCAGAAGATAGCAGCTGTTTGTGGGCAATGACAGATTTCAAAGATCTCCCTAAGCCACCTGTCTCCCCCCAACCCTGGAGCCCGTGGAAACAGTTAAGGCCTGTAAATGCAGAGATGGCCCCGGAGGACGTCGGAAGGGGCGGGGACCACCGATGGAGCTCAGGTTGGCAAGCAAGGAGGAAGGAACATGCCCCTGCTGGTCTCCCCCCGTCCCCCGCTGTGACCAGCAGCCCCCAAAGGTGCAGTTTCCAGGACTTCCCTACATAATGACTGGGGGAGCAGCTACGCCTTGGCAATAACAATAATAAAATTAAAAATTGGGAACACAAATCTCCTGGCACCCCACCTGCCATACGTCAAGGCTCTACACCAAATGAAATATTCAAGATGGAAATTAAAAGCTTTGGAGAAAGTCATCCTTTTAGGGGAAA